TGGGGGAGAGCCTGGCATCGTGACTGTGTTGGGGGAGAGCCTGGCATCGTGACTGTGGAGGGGGAGAGCCTGGCATGGTGACTGTGGAGGAGGGAGCCTGGCATAGTGACTGTGTTGGGGGAGAGCCTGGCATCGTGACTGTGGAGGGAGAGAGCCTGGCATCGTGACTGTGGAGGGAGAGAGCTCGGCATGGGTCGGGCACGGCAGCTGTGCTCATCTTTGGCAGGAACACTTCCACCCACTTTCATTTCACACTTCAGTCAAGTCAACCACCACCTAATGCATTTTGGAGAAACCAGCACTGCTCTCTTCATAGGAAAAGTGATCTTAGCGTTTTTCAGCTGAGAGGACTCTGTCTGCTCGCAGCTGAGCTGTGGCTTTCATACAACAGTCATGCAGGAGACCCGGGCTGCAGTGAGGATGTCCCCCCAGTCACTGCCAGGGATGCATTCACGTGACAGACGCATTCGGCTTTTCCCGGCCGGGCCTCACCCCTGTGCGGCAAAGGGCCCAACACCATCTTCCGCCTGAGCGTGAAGACCCCAGCGCAGACCTGGACACGAAGGGGAGGACGGGCTGTCCCAGAGGAGCAAGGTGGAGGCCCCTGGCCCCCGGGAGGCATGGAGCACTGCCACCAGCGCAGGAAGGGAGCTCTGGTGGGACTGGGACCTTTTGAGGAGGGAAGAGCCACTTATCCCAAAACTCATCAAAAAATACTGTGGGATTTAACTGTAGGCAGAAAACAGCTTTCCCATCAGAACCTAAGAGCCACTCTATTTTCCAGCTGTTTGTTCGCCTTGGTTCTAAGTGTCTACCTGCCCACCCCCACTCCCCACATACTGAGTGGCTGGCCTCCCTCCCGTGCCTCAGTGGTCATCATCCCTGACCTCTGCCTGGAGCCATCATCACGGGTGCGGAGCTTCCCACTCGCCTGCCTGAGAGGACCAGGGGCCCTGGACGTGGCTTTCCGGGGCCCATGTCAACGCGGCAATAGCGACAATGCTGTAATGCCCACACGCAGTTCCCAGGCTCCTCCCGGGGGGCAGCGTCGCCGCACCACACTCTGGGCACAGCCCCCCCAGCAGCGTCGGCAGAGGCCACATCAGCAGCAGCAAACGGAAAGCCGGTGCACGCTCACCCCCACCCTGCAGACTCCCACGCTAGGTCTGCCTGAAGACAGCCGTCCTGTCGGTGGGGAGCGCCTGACTCTGCACAGGCCCAGCCGTCCTTGGTGGCTTCAGGGCTTGTGACGGTGTCATCGGGAGCAAGTGGCATTTAGTCATTACTTCAGCCTGATCACCAGGGCGACGGGGCTATCGCTCGAGTCTGACTTGGTGACTTCTCTATGTTTTCTCATTCGTAAAGTGGGATAAAATAGCAACTTCCCTCAGCAAGAATCCACCGACATAAAGCGTGCCAGGAGTTAGCACCATGGCTGGGGCTATTAAAATCCAGTGGATGTCGGTGCCCCTGCCATGCGGATGTGCGTTAGTTTCTCATTCACTCTCTGCTCATTGCTGTAAACAGAACTGATCCACTTGATGATCATTTCAAAGTCACATCCACCCAGAACTTGGGAGTGTGACCTTGTCTGGAAATAAGGTTCTTTCACATGTAATTAGTTAGCATGAGTCTACACTGGGGCAGGATGGAAGCTGGAATCCAGGAGGACTGGTGCCCTTTTAAGAGGAGGGGAATGTGAGCACAGACACGGGGGAGAAGGCCGGGTCAGGACAGCAGCAGAGGTTGGACTGGTGAGTCTACAGGCCCAGGAATGCCAGCGAGCAC